TTTTTCTCCTGTGCTTATTGGAAAAATTTTCTTATAACCAGGTAAGCTTTAGGCAAAACTAGAGATTCAATAGAGTTTCTCTTCATAATACTAATATTTTACCCCCCCCCCTTTATCTCCCTTCAAGAACTCTGTGGAAAGAGGACTAAATTAAGAATTAGGAAGTGTCAGCTGTATTTCCTGATGTGACAGTGCATACGCCATTCATACTTTGTGTGCCTCATCTCCTTATTCATTAAAGTGAGATACTTGGAAGGATTGTTGTGAGGATTGTATATGTAAAACTATGTCTTAGATTCCAAATAAAAGTGAGTGTTGCGGACGGCATAGCAATTAGATACTTAGGTCACTGCTATAGACTGTCGGTCTCCCTCCAAAATTCACATTTTGAAACCTATTTCCCAGTGTGATGGTATTTGGAGGTGGGACATTTGAGAGGTGATTAAGTCATGAGGACAGAGCCCTCATGAATGGAATTATAAAAGAGACTCCAGAGAGCTCCCTAGCCCCTCCTTCTACGTGAGGACACAGCAGGAAGATGGTGGCCTATGAACCAGGAAGTGGGCTCTCACCAGACACCGAATCTGCTGGCACCTTAATCTTAGACTTCCCAAACTCCAGAGCTGTGAGAAATAAACGTTTGTTATTTAAGCTACCCAGCCTATGGTACGTTTGTTATAGCAGCCTGACGGGACTGAGACAGACACCAACATTTGGAGCTCCCATATCTGCTCTGAGCCGCTTATATTTAGACTGAACAGGAGAAGGAAATAAACTTCCATCTTGTTTAAGCTACTTTACTTTGGCCTTTGCTACATCAGTTGGATCTGTATTCTAATAGCATCTTCTATACCTGAAAACTTGTTTTTAGGAAAGAAGTTGATATTATCTATTTACATTGTGGTTAAATTGCATTTAAGCCACAACATTTTTTTCTATTACTTGTGGAATCTTAGTTTTTGTCCTTAAAATGTAATTTTAAGTATATTAGAGAAGGTAGGGATAGAGAAACATTTTGGGGGGCAGAAAAGTTGTCCTGGTTTTCCTGAGAACATTGAGTGTAGACAGCCACCTGCTCCATCCATGTGAGAACTTGTCCCTGCCTGGGTGATAGGGGGACACCTCCCCTCAGGAGGAACCATCCTGCATGGAACCATCTCATGCCCCATCCAGTCCTCCCTCCTCTGATCTTTTCCTGTTTGCATAGTGGGTTTCACTGGGTTGTCTGCAAGAATCCAGTAGCACATCAAATTGAATGGTACAGAGCTTAGCTCTTCATCTTTTCTCCTTCCCAAAACAAAATGAAACAAAACAAACAAGACAAACTCACTCCTTCTATTTTTGTTTTCCATATCAAACAACGGCACCACCATCTACCCCAGTGCCATCGACTCTCTTGATTCCAGGTCTGTCTGGGTGCTGTTCCTTCTGCCTTCCTACTTCCTATTTCTTCCTACTTGGCCCAGTCTTTACCAGGTTCGTTCCTCCTCTTCCCTTAGGTTTTAGTTCAGGTGTGACTCCTGCTGGGAAATCTTGCTGAAGCCCCACAACCAAAGCAATTTCACTTCCCGTGTGTTCCTATAGTACTCAGTACTTTCCCTATCACAGCAGTTATCAGGGATTATCACTGCTTTTAAAATTCTCTTCCTTGTCACTAGACCACTGGGTCTTTCTCATCATTGAATGCCCAGTGTCTAGCTCAGTGCCTGACCCAAGTAGGGACTCCACAAATATTGTTTGATTGAGTAAATTGATACTTACCAAGAGTTTTAAAATGTTCTTACTTTTTAATCCAGGAAATCCCCTTTGCAGAAGATAGTCTAAAGAAATAGTTGAAAGTTTAGACAAAGACTTATGTACAAAGCTGCTTACCATAGTATTTTTTTTAATTCAAATATTTAATACTAGGAAAATTGGTAAATAAATTATAGTACATCTCTATCATGGTATATTTTGTGGCCATTAGAACTGAAATTTTATGTATATCTATTGACAGGCAAAAATGTTTGGGAAATAACATTAAGTTAAAATAAACCCAGGGTACCCAAATGTGTGTGTGTATGTGTTTGTGTGTGTGTGCATGCAATCCAGTTTTTAAAAAATATTTATGCATAGATAAAGGACTGAAAATAAATATTTCTAAATATTACTCAATGATATTTCTGGGATATGGTATTACACATGATTTGTATTTTTTATACTTTTTCATGTTTTCTAAATTCTGTATTTGGAATTCATTTTTTAAATAACCAGAAAAAAAACACTTTTAAAAAATTTAAAATATTCCTTTGGTTGGTGGCTCTTGCTATAGAGCATGTGTTTCTTTCTTAACCTCAGGAATTTCCTAGAATTTAAAAATGGTTTAAATTTTTTATTATAATATATATACACACAACAAATCACATTAACGCATGTGATACACTCCTGTGTTTACCCAGATCTTTTGAACACAAAAATGTTTTTCAAAGGAATGCATATATAATATATAACATAATTATTGGCATCGTGTATTAGTTTGCTAGGGCTGCCATAACAAAATGCTAAATTAAATTGGATGGCTGAAACAACAGAAATTTATTGTCTCACTGTCTGGAGGCTTGAAGTCCAAGATCAAGGTGTCAGCAGGGCTGGTTCCTTCTGGGGGCTGTGAGGGAAGGATCCACTACAGGCCTCTCTCCTTGGTTCATAGATGGCCATCTTCTCCCTGTGTCTCTTCACATTGTTTTCCCTTTGTTCATGTCTGTCTCTGTGTCCAAATTTCCCTTTTTTATAAGGACACCAGTTATATTGGATTAGAGTTCACCCAAGTAACCTCATTTTAACTTGATTACGTCTGTAAAGACTTGTCGCTAATTAAGGTGACATTCTGAGGTACCAGGGATTAGGAATCCAACATATCTTTTTTGGGGGCTGGGGGAGGGACACAATTCAACCTGTAACACCAAAACCATTAATGATTACTTTCATTCCAAAGGCTGAGACATAGAAAAACTTTAGTGTTTCTTCCTCTAGGTGCTTGATGTCCACTAATATTCTCCTAAGTGAGATAATAGATGGTGACGCAGAAACATTAAGTTCCATTTGTTGCTCTGAAAAGGTAAGGTCATGCTGATGTTGTGGTATTTCCTGTTACACATAGTTTGTATCTGTATAGAACACCGTGTTTTAGAAAGAACTTTCCTATGCTCATTTAAGTGATCCCATAATCTCTCTTACAGATGTGAAGAAACTGTGCCTCTCAGAGGGTAAATGATTTGCATAAAATTGCACAACTAGCAAGTCCAGAGAATTGCTTACAATCTAGTTTGTCTAACTCTTCATTCAGTGTTTGTTCCATCCCATAAAATAGACTCCATGCTCCACATGACCAAGCCAAACTACCTGCGACTGCATTTAACAAAGAAATGTGATGGTCCCTAAGTTGCAGAGTGTGAGACCTATTGACTTTTGTGAAATAAGTATATTTACCACAAGGGGTCGCTGTTGCTCCGAGTTGAGTAAAGCATATCCGTTTTATGTTTTATTTCTGTACAAGGCATCTTAGCATCTGCATCTCCCTTGTAAATACTTCTTTCTCCTCCACTTGATACTGAGGGCAAGCTGGTTATTTACTCCATCATTTTGTGACATCTACTCTGTCAAAATGTTACTAGAAGTCATCAGCTCTCACTGACACTTTGCATAGGAAAATGGAAAAATTGCTCACTCACAATACCTTGGACAAGTCTAGACCTGGAAGAGGCACCTCTCAAATATTTTCTAGTGATTTTCCATTCCTGTGTGATTGAACAAAGAACTCAAACAACACACCACTATCTTTTCCACGTTAATGTGAGTGTCTAACATGTTTTGATTACTACCCTTGGCTGATTCAATGAACATTATGGTTTCTTTGGATTTGACTCTTTTCCTGCATGGCTGTTATTAAAAAATGTTTTTGTGTTACTGTTATTGAATTTATATTGGATATTTCTTGAAGGAAGGGTGAATTAATTTTTTTTTTGAAAATCACATATATAATCCTACACAACTGCTTTCTACTGACTGTGGTAAATTGCACGTGATTAAGATGAGAAGGAAGGGGATGAGAAGGAACTACAATTTACTGTTGACTACATGCCATAGGCTGACTCTGAAGTAGGTAATATTGTTTCTATTTTACAGATGAAGAAACTGAGGCTCAGAGGAGTGAGTGGCCCATGGTCACAAGGTGGCAGAGCTGGGATTTGGGTTTAGGTCTGTCTGACTGTGAACTTGTGCCTTTTCTTCTTCAGCTCACTTCCTCCCTGGTTAGGGGAATGATTCCACCTCAAATGTCCTTCCCTAGGTGGACAGTAGGGACTAGTGAGGGGTCTGCTCCCCTTTTATAATGTTCCTTAAGTGAGATCCAAGAAGCAGATGTTAGATGTGGACTGAGCGAGATTATAAAAGGACACCAGGGCATCAGGAGGTGAGGGTCCCGCTCAGACGGTCTCATTTGCTCTTTTGTGGAGTAAGATTAGGATTCCCTGTTTCGTCTGGCTACATAGGGGTCAATGGGGGATTTCTGGACATACAGTACCAGGTCAGAGGTGTTATTCTCAGAGCTCCATGAGTCTCAGACTGACCAGAGTAGATGATCATCTTCTGGGACTGTGGAAAAGTTATGGGGAATAAGGAGCCTGATGGAATCTACCCTCTCATGTATTTGCTTCATTCAGACCAAGTCTATAAGGGGCTAGACCTTGGCAAAGATCTAGAAGGAAATCGAGGATGCTACACTGTTGTGCTGGAAGTTTTTACCCCCTATTCTTCCTGAGTGCTCAGGTGAACCTTGAGGGGAAGCCCATTCTGAGGAGCTGCCACCCTGCTATTGGCTGGCTCCTGGGGACAGCCCCAGTGAGAGCTGCTAGTGTGGGCTCTGGAAGGTGCTGCTGTGTCTCTTCCCTGGTTCGTATCCTGTTCCAGGTTCAGACTCAGAAACAGAGCCGAGACCCTGAGTCCTGGTTTACACATAGAATATGAGGCGGGTGACAAGACTGACGGTGCTCCTGATCTTGAGTGAGTTATTTTGGGATTAAGAAGAGTGGAATCTGGGTCTGGACAGGGATCTGCATCCTTACCTCTACCATTGCTGTTTATCCAAGATGTTGAGGGCTGGCTTTGAGGTCCTGTTTTCTCCAGGCAGTTATGTGCATTATGCAAGGGGTGTCTCAGGGCAATAAAGATGTTCTGGGTTACTGAGCCCCAGATCCATCCATAGGAGGGAGAAAATAGAACTTCCCCCTCCAGACATGTGCTCCTGGGATTCCTTGGAATAAATATTTAAAAAATTTTGTCCCAAAATGTAAATAAGAAGCAAATTGTATGTGTCTGTATATGGTGGGGAAGTAGGGTGTGGGGTGGATTTGACTGTGAGAGAGAAGCTGGAGGGAGCTGAGTTGGACCTTCCATTCACCTTGGTTTTAGGATCGGACTAGTTTTGTGTTTTTACTCCTACAGGTACTTTGAGCCTTGCTAAGACCACCCAGCCTCTCTTCACTGACGCATATGAAGGACAAGAGGTGAACATACCCTGTAACCACAGCAACATTGCTACAAATGAGTACATCTTCTGGTACCGACAGTTCCCCAACAAGGGACCACAATTTGTTATTCGAGGATTTAAGACAAACGAGACAAATGAAGTGGCGTCTCTGTTCATCCCTGCAGACAGGAAGTCCAGCACCCTGAGCCTGCCCCAGGTTGCCCTGAGAGACTCTGCCGTGTACTACTGCATCGTGAGTGACACACAGTGAGACAGACGGGGCTGCACCTGTGCAGTATCCCCCGATGGGGGGGGCGCACCACAGCCCAGGGGGAAGCCGAAAAGTAGTGCTTTCTAAAATGCTTATTTTATTTTCAGAAGGTATTAGCAAATCCATGTATTCTTTTACTATCTTGAAAAATTTGATTTTATTTATTTCTTAAGTAGGTATTCTACTTACACGCTCTAAAATTCAAAAACTATAAAAAGGCATACAGTGCAATGTCTCCATGTCACTATTGTCCCTGAGCTGCTCAATTATTCAAAAGGAGGCAATCTTGGTATTGATACTATTGTTGCTTAGCTCACTGGTCTCTCTCATCGTGTGTGTACACACGTGAACACACACAATGCATACACAAATGCACACACACATTATGCACACACACACTACACACGCTTACATGAACACTGCACACAGTCAATGTGAACAAGATGTTTCTCAGCTTTTGTAAAATTCAGCCCAAGTGTCAGATTATTATTCATTGTCGAACAAATTTTGAGCATTTCTTTGGCCATTTTCAAGCACTTACAAGATGGTTTCCAAGTCTCCTCGAAGTTTAGATCTCTCACCCTCTCTGTTGCCCCTCTTTCTCTTTTCTTTTGTTCCATTTCCCTTTTGTGGATTGTCCAGGAAGGAGAAAGCAGATGACGGTAGAGGAGGGGATAGAGGGGGTTTTTGTTTCTGATTGACGTGATAGACTATTTTTGCAGTATCTGAAGAAACAGAGGTTCTGGGTCATTATCACTTTTCAGGGTTGGGTCCTTTGGGGGCCCAAGGGAGACAGAAATAATGACAAAGTTCCTGGCAATCTTGCTAGTGCTCCTGTGGCTTCATCAGGAGTATGAGGGTATTATTGTTGTTATTATTATTACTATTTTGATGGGAGGTTGTCTTTGATTTTGGCAACAGGGAAAGCAATATTCTATGATCTTTTCTATTGAGACTGATAGGGCTAGACCATGGGATGGGAGAGTGTTTCCATCTAGCTCATCCTTGGTTTGGGTGGGGAGTAGTATTACGGAAAAAGAAATAATCATGGAGCATTAGAGCCCATAAACTCATCTCCTTTGCCTGATGTCTTTCTAAACAGGGATGAGGAGCCTGCTGAAGGTGGAGCAGAGAGCTGAGTCACTGAATGTTCAGGACAGAGCCAGCTCTTCTCTCAACTGCACTTAAGAAGACCACTGTTTCCAGTACTTCATGGGGTACAGATAGTGTCCTGGAAAAAGCCTAGGGTTTCTGATTCCCAGACTCTCAAATGGAGAAAATGAGCAAAGGAGATTCACAGCATTTGAACAAAGATGAGATATACACCTCCCTGCACATCACAGATTTGAAGCCTGGAGATTCAGACACCCTCATCTGTGTAGCAAGTTCACAGTGATCCCTAAGTCTTTGGAGCCTCTGCCAAAACCAGCGGAGGAGGGTCCAGCCATACTCCTGACTTGAGAGTTGAGAGGGTCGGGTAGAGGGGAATCTCTGTAATGTTTCTATCTACTTACAAAAATAAATACCCATATCTGAGAGGCATGTGTGTTTATCTAAGGAAGACATTAGACTACTCTATCTAAAGGAATTTCCATCTAAAGAAAATTATAGGTGGAATATTGGCCTGGATAAATGTTCAAAATGTCTCTATCCTTGTTGGAGTTTCATCCCACTCTTGTTCATGGTATCTCAGTTGGATGATGTCTTGGTTGTAGTCCAGAGGAAAAGAGCCCTGTCTTGAAGATGGGGGAGCTGGGAGTACAGTCCATGTTCTTTCATGAAGTCGCTGACTATAAGGAAACAACACAATTAGGTTTAATTTTAAGATCTAGTTTTACAAACAAGAATCTGCGTGTTGAGCACTTTGGACGAAAGCCACTGAGGGATGGTGGGAAGAGCACTGGGATTAGAAGCAGTAAATTCTAACTCTAGTTGTATTTCATCTTTGCTACATGCCCTTGGGTAGCAAAACAGAGTGGAAAAAGAATAAGCTTTGGAGCCAGGCATCTGGGTTTGAATTTAAGATCTGTTACCCTTAAGAGTTTGACCTTTGTCAAATACTTATGGGTTCTGAGCTTCAATATCTCCTCTATAAAATGGGGATCATAATACTATCTTAAAGTATTACTATGAGGTTAAAACAATATCACACCAAAGGTCCTGCTCTTCCACAGCACTTATCAGACAAATGCTATCAACGTCCTGCATTATCGTTTCTGATAAAGAAGTTGTTAAACCTTATCTGCCAACCCTACAAAGCTATTTGAAGGATGACATAAAATCTTGTGTGTTCAGATTCTTCATAAATTGAAGAATACCTAAACAAATATAAGGAATTTTGGGGGAGGTAAAACTCTTGGTCTTATCTCTGAACAAAATATCAATAAATTGATCAGCTGTTTCTCTGTATAAAGATCACATGACTTTTTTGCCAAATGATCCCCAGGGTGAGGCTTTCAAGGTTCAAGTAGATAAATGGTGGCTTGCAGAGTGATTGGTGACTCTGGGTTCCCAGAGATGGATGGGTAACTCTCTGCCTCCAGACTGAAGACAGCCTGTAAGAATGAATGATTACAAAATGGTCAGAGCTTTGTATAATTACACAGACCAATATGAGTTTTCATCTGGGTTTCCAGCAGTCAACAGTTTATCAAGGTTGACAACCCTCTTCCTGTTTAGTGATAAGACTTCCATCATAGTGATCAGAATCAGAAGTATTTATCAAATACTCATTAGAGTAGGGCTCTGGCTTAGATCTCACCACTGCACTGAGCACATAACAGGCACACACCCTGCCTTATTCGGATATAGTCCCAGACTCACATGTGCTGACACACACAGGTGTGTGTGTGTGTGTGCATGCGTGTGTGTGTATGCGTGTGTGTGTGATTTTAAAAATATAGAATATTCTTGACCTTTCCATGTGGTCTCTGCACGTGGTGTCTCCAATATGGTAGTTGAATTTTTTACATGGCAGCTCCTGAGAGTGCAAAAGGAGCTTAAGTTCCTTAAGAAAGAGTGCTTTCTTAAGCTTAAGCTCAAGACTGGTACAGCATCACTATTCCTGAATTCTATTGGCTATGTGAATCACGAGGCCAGCCCAGATTCATGCAGAGGGGATTATGGGAGGCTATGATTCATTGAGAGTCACCAGTGTAACAGGGTATTACAATAATCATTGTAGAAAATCTAGAAAACAATGATAAATTAAATGGAAAGAGAAATAAAAATGCCCCCATATCTCAACATCCTTAGATAACCATAATTTACATTTTGGTGTACAAATTTTTGGAATTGTTCCACAAAATATGACAATTAATTATATATAAGTAATAAATTGACCATGTGTGAGATAAGAATCAGAGACCCTGTAATCCAATACTTTGAAAAATATTGGGTGAATGTCTTTTGAGGGTTACATCAGATCCTCTGGATGAGTTGATTCTTAAAGTTGAAAATCAATAATAGGATAGGTATTATGCTATAACCACAAGTGAACACCGTTCTATAATTACATATTCTTTCTTGTACAGCTTTCCCTTTTTCATGGAGTTTCTAGTTTTCTCTTTTTCCCCTACTTTTTATCTTAATATCAATCTCTTTTCATATTCCTCTAATTTTCTCTAATTCCACTTCTTCCTAGAGGCAATTATTCTCCTGTTCCAATATGATCTGGTTGTTTAGTTACATTTCTTTGAGACTGTTAATTAGAATTTTTGTAATTTTTTTTTTCTGCTTACTGAATTATCTCTGTTTTTTTTTAGGGTCAATTTAAATTTGTTTATCTTGTTGTCCATCATTCATATTGCAGACTTTCTGTAAATTTCTGCTGATCCCTGGCTTACTTTATTATTTAAGAATGAAGTAATTCAAAAAAGCTAACTGGAGATCCAGGTAGGTGGCAAGGGCTTGTAGGCAGGCAGGCTTTGCCCGAAAGCAATTGTGTAAGAGGCAACTATTTTCCTGAAATCTCTAAATACCGGTATGTGGAAGTGTTTGCTCTGAGAGTACAAATATCCGTTCCAGTGTAATTTGACTTCCTTTTACATTTTACTAAATGTTTTTTTAGAAGTTTATCTTTCTTGGCTGGAAGGTATAGCCTGGCCATAGAGCATTCATCATTTGTGTATGTCTATATGTGTGGGAAGAAATGAACCTTTGAGCTGAATGAATTACTAAAGTTTTGATTTAGACAAGACGAGGTTTGGAGTGACATCAGAAAAATGGTGGCATGAGAATTTCTACCACTCATCTCCCCCAGAAACATGCATATACTTGAACAATTATCTGCCTTCACAAGGACCCTCACAAGAGCCAAGGATTACAAGTGAGGGATTACAGTACCTGGGTGAAGCACAAAAATAAGAAAATATGCATTGAGGAGGGTAAGGAAAGATAGATTCACACTACCCTCACCAAACCTCCCCCAAGCCCAGGCAGCCCAGTGTGGAGAAAGACACTTTCCCCGTGGGAGGAGAGTGAAGTGAGTGCCTGAATTCATTGCACCTCGGAGCTGGCCTGTCCCAGCACCAGGTGGACTCTCACAGCCCTAGGTGGCTCTTGAGGGCTCCTGCTAACCTAGGTCTTCCCTGCTTACCCCTGTGTTGGCCAGCTCCAGTGGCTGCAGGCATCTCCTGCAGCCCCAGGTATCTCCTGTAGCACCCGGTTCCCAGTGGGCTCCTGTGAACCAAGGCCCTCTGGCTTACCTTGGCATCTACCAACTCCAGTGACCCCAGGCATCTCCCAGTGCTCCAGGCAGCTTTCTTGGCTCCAAGTTCCCAGAGGCCCACTGTGAACTGAAACACTTGATCCACACCAGCATCTGCCAGCTCATGTGACCCCAGGTGGCTCCTGTTGCCCCTGACTTCTGATTGACTCCCGAAAACAGACCCCTGGCCCACCTTGGTACCGGCTAACTCCTGTGGTACCAGGCTCCCATGGGATCCCACGAACCTAGCCTCCCAGCTCACCCAAGCACCAGCCAGTTCTCATGGCCCTGGGCAGCTCCTGTGTCCCCAAGCTCCCCA